GCGGCGGCGGCGGCTGCGGAGGCCGAGGGCGCCCGAGGCGGCCGGAGGGGCGGGGGCAGTGGCCGCCGCCGTTTGATGGATCCGAGGATCGCCTGGTTCCAGCCAGAGCAGCTCGGACCGTCCAACAGTCTGTGGATGCAGATCTGGGAGACGACCCAGGGGCTGAGGAACCTTTACTTCAACCACCACTGTCACAGCAGCGGCGGCGGCGGCGGCGGCGGCGGCAGCGGCAGCGGCAGCAGCAGCAGCACGGCCTCGGGCGCGAGCGGCGGGAGCACCGGCAGCCCCGGCGGCGCAGCCCCGGCCCCGGCCCCCGCCCCAGCCCCAGCCGGTATGCTCCGCTCCGGGGAGCGCCTGCCGGTTGGCCACGCGCGGCCCTCCGAGCAGCGGGACTTCCTACCCCTGGAGACGACCAACAATAACAACAACCACCCCCAGCCAGCGGCCTGGGCCCGTCGCACCGCCTCGGGACCCCCGGCCACCCCGACCCCTTTGGCGGCCCCGGCCCCACGCTCCTCGGCCGCCGTGCCCACCGCGGAGCCAGCCGACCCGGCCTCGGGCAGCAGCAACAAGCGGAAGCGCGACAACAAGGCCAGCACCTACGGACTCAACTACAGCCTGCTGCAGCCCAGCGGAGTGCGAGCTGCGGGGGGCGGCCGGGCAGAAGGCGGCGGGGGCGTGTACAGCGGGACCCCGTGGAAGCGGAGGAACTACAACCAGGGAGTCGTGGGGTGAGTTCGTGCTGGGCCTGTGGCTTGGGGGTGGGCGAGCACCTGCCGGGCTGCTCCTTGGAGGATTGATATCCCCCCCATCCCAAGCCACCGGCACTTTCACCCAACCCTCCTCAGCCTCCGAGCCTGCTCCAGACACCCCTCAGACAGGCACACCCTCCCCTCACCTCCCTTAGTCATCCACACCTACCCCCTCTCCGTCCATACCTTCCCCGGGCTCCCTTTAACCATCCGATCATTCCTCCCATCCCTCTTAATCCAGCCTGCCCCCTTCACCCAGTCCTTCACATCGTCATCCCCATCACTCCGCGCTGGGAGATTCCTTAGCATAGACGTATCATGCATTCCCGAGAACGGTAACGGGGTAACGTATTGCGTTACTGCCTTTTGATGGTTCAGGACCTGGAGGTGCTTTCCTTGCCAAGAATAGAAACATCCAGAATGCCCCTCCCCCTCCCCCAATCCCAGACAGGGATCTAGGGAGCCCTGATAGGCATTGCCTACTTTTGATCCTTTGGCCAATCTTTTAATTCTTACTTTAAAAAATTTCATGTATTAGCCATGCTGTCTGCGGGGAGGACTGGGTGACAGCTAAGTTTAGGCCAGTGGAAGTGGTGAGCTCTTGTTCTGAGCCCTGATAGAACTTTCCAGGAGTTCATGGTCCGATCTCCGGATTCTCACTGTAAAGTGATCCTGGCAGAGGCAGCCAGTGGTTTTCATTGTAGGGGTAGCTTTATGCTAATAAGTGAATGTTGCACCACTAGTGACTTTCTGTTTAAAGTTCATGTCTTACAAAATGGAATCTTACCTGACCCCTAGTGAATTATGTACATAAGCTGGGAATGTGCCCAGCAAATTTCCCTTCTGGAGGAGCCTCTGTGCTGGGATAGGTTACTGAGTCATTTTTCTTTTGTAAAGTAAAGCTTTTGGACCAGTGTCCATGTTCGTGTGTGTGTGAGTGTGTGTGTGTGTGTGTCTGTGTCTGTATGTAGCTGGAGTATGGAAAACTGGCTTTCAAATTGCTTGTCAGTTTTTTAGCTCCTGTTTTACATTGAGGGCTAGAGTACACAAATGAAATCACCAATTTGTAATCTTGCATGAACCTTTTCCTAGCTTCATCCATTCAGATCTGCCTTGTTTGTTGTGTGTACCTTTTTGAAGGTCTGGGTAAAATGAGTTGGTGGGTTCCATCTGCTTCTAGTGGGCTGGTGTCTGCTGTATGCTACTATTACAACTCCCACCTTTTACGGAAAATGTAGTCCTATGTTTTAGAATTGCTGCTGAGGTATATGTCAAATCTGCCTTCCCTCTCCAGAGGGGGAATCCTTCAGGGTTGAGTCCTCTGTTGCTAAGCTTCAAGGGCGCTCTCCATGGTCATCACGTTTTATTAAAGGTTTGCGCTTCCATCCTGTTAGCATTTCCAAGTTGAAGTGTAAACCTATGGTTTAGCTACAAGCAAACTGATATTGAGGAGTTCTGGTAGTTTCGTTTTAGAGGAATAAGCTGCAGTTAAGTAATCACTGTCAGCTAAAACCTTGAAGTTCCCTAATTGCATTTTACTGAAACTTCTTTGCATAAGTTTCTAGAAAAGATATATTATAAATCCAAAATGTTGGCCTCCTTTTTTTTGATAGAAATTGTTCCGTCTTCTACTTGCTGTATAATATAGAAGATACTGTAAATGATTCACACGTGAACTTATGTAGAAGCAAAATGTCCTTGTTCCTGTTTCAAATATTACATTGCCCTTAAAGGGATTAGGAGAGGAATTTTCATTTCCCAGAGGAATTCCTGTTTAAAAAATGATTGTAAAAGCTGTTTTCAAACAGCTTATCACTTTATCAGACTTTCCACATTTTTTAACCTGCTCCTTTTGAGGATGTCAGCAGTTAAAAGTTTTTAAATTTTAAATTCTGAGACCTAGTTTTGAAAAATATATGAAGCAGTTCCTAAAAGCTTCTGGATATTTAATAATTCTTGTTTTGATATGTGGGTTATTATTTCTTCACTTTTAAGGAAGTTTAGATGTTTTTAATACCAGTATTTAACAATTTTGATTGCACCTCAATGTTACACTATTCTGAGATTAAATATAGTAAAAATGTTGCCAGCATTTTCTGCATGACTGATACATTTGCTAGTAGATGAACAAATTGTGATGGTTACTGACCTCTGAATTGGCTATGCAGACAGGGAGATGAAACCAAAAATACACATGAAAAGTGGATTAGAACTCTGGAAGAGCTGTATACTCTCTCGCAGCTGTTTTATGTCTTGGTCTTTTCTGTACCAGCCAAACTAGTTGAGTTATTTCCTGAGCTTTCCTTTGAGAAACAGTTCAAAATCCTGACTTCTTCCATTATCCAAGCTCTTAACTTGGAATTCTTTGTTTTGTTTTTTGGTACCAGGGATCGAACTCAGGACCTTGTACTTGCGAGGCATGCGGTGACACCACTGGGCTAAATCCCCAGCCCTTAACTTGGAATTCTTACAGTATTTGTTTTATGTTCTTAGTAGAGCAAGTTAATGTTAACTTTTCTTTTATATATGTGCTTTCTTATCCACTGGAGGATGAAAATTTCCAAGAGTAAGATGTTCAAAATTTGTCCTAAAGTCTTCATAGTCTTCTTTCAAAATGAAATTCCTCTGGGCTTACTATCTCAGCATTTGTCCCCATGTAACCACAGGCCCAGGGAGTTTATTTACTTTCCATTTTCTATTTTATTTTATTGTATTGCTTCCACTTACCCTTTTTCTTGGGCTTCATTTCCCTCTAGGGCTGGCTATGCTGTAGGATACGATTGCCTGCTTCTGCTTGCCCATGAGAACAGGCCATAAGCTGTTTTCAAAGATTTGATTGTTGATCACTGTGGAGAAAGAAGGGATGGCAAAGAATTGAAAGCACAGGGAACTTAGAGATATTCAGAATCCTTAGACCTGAGCCCTGGTGTCCAGAAACTTCTTGTGGAAGGTGTTTGGGGCTTGTCTGAGTTCATGAGGATAGGTTTGTATTGGCTACAGTGCAAAATCTGTAGGCAGTTTGTCAAAGTGTGGGTAACTTGCTCACGGCTGTGCTTTGGAGGATGGATTTGGTCAAGTGGACTTTAAGAAGACCCCATTGGGAAACCTAAGTGTTTGTTTCAGTGGTACTAGGAATATAGTCCAGGACCTTGCACATGCTAGGTAACCCCTCGACCACTGAGCTACATTCCCAGTCCCAAGAAATTTAAGTATAATTTCTTCCTGTTCATGCCTTTTCTTGTTCTCTTTTCCCTTCTTTCCTTCTCCCTTCCTCCCTTTGTTTTTCCATGGTCCTGGGGATTGAACCAAAGACTGTGTCCCCAGTCCTTTTATTTTTTGAGAAAAAGGTCTTGCTAAGTAAGTCCTTGAACTTGTGATCCTCCTGCCTCAGTCTCCCAGAATGCTAGGATTACAGGCATAAGTTACAGGCATGTGTCAGCATGCCCAGCTAAGGAATAATTTCTTGAATAAGATGGTAGGAAAGGGGTGGAAGGAAGAAAGAATGTGAGAGGTATTATAGAATAAAGATGGAGAGGATCCCAGCTCCTTCAGGGGATTTAACTTGAGTAATTGGGGAAATGTTTGTGTTACTGAAAATAAGGGCTAGAAGGACTGATGGTTTGGGGCAGAAGCTAGGATGATGATTAGGTGGCAATGTCTAGCAGGGAGCTGAGATTTTGGGGCTAAGATACAGTGCTCTTTGCTGCAGTGGGGGAGCATCGTCTCATACTGCCGTAAGCTGGTGCTCATTGCTCACTATATCACAGTAAACCCAAAGCACTGATGGTTTTTTTCAGCCCTGGCATTATGGGTAATTTTCACATAATGTCATTAGTGGGATTGGTGTTGCTGCTGGGTTCAAAGCAATCATGCAGATGAACACAGGTTGAGTAGTAAGGAAGTTAGAGACATTATTCTTTCCTCTTTAGGCTAAGTTTAATTTCTGTGCATTTGCAAATGTGGTCCACACTAATTCTTTAGTAAACTGGGACTTTCAGGTTATTGAATTTTATGATTTGGGTACTGAAATATGTTTTTTAAGAAGACAGTAAGGGCTGAGGATTTAGCTCAGTGGCACCATGCCTGCCTCACAAGTGCAAGGTTGAATCCCTGGTACCAGGGAAAAAAAAAAAAGACATTATAAGGGTCAGGGATGTAGCTCAGTGGCTCTGCACCTGCTTGGCAAGTGTGAGGTCCTGAGTTTGATTCCCAGTACTGGGGGGAAAGGAAAGGAAGACATAAAGCCCAGCCTGGAACACGTAGCAAGACTCTGTCTCAAAAACAAAAAAAGAAAAGGAAATTATAGTGTATATTCTAAACAAACAATATAATTTGTCTTCAAGAATCTGCCCAAATCTGGCATACTGTTTTCAACTAAGTAACTTTCCATGCCACAACTTCTATCTTCTGTTCAATATCTGTGACCAGGGAATACAGTCACCTTCATTGAGCTACCAGTATGGTATGTGGACTTCATTAAGTTTTCACTTGTTGAAAAGCAAAAGGAAACAGTGGTTGGGGTTCTTTAGAATTGACTCAGTGTTCACTCAGAAGATTTAGTACATTAAAGAAAGACGAGATCAGAAAAGGATACTAGAAAGGTCTAAGGCAGGGAGGATGTGTGTATATTAGAACAGTTTTTGCTGTAATATGCTTAAGGACCCTATATCTCAACTCCTTTCATGAAAGTGCTGCCAATAAATCCTACTTTTAAAAATCTGAAGGTCCATGAGAAGAGACTTTAAGGGCTTCCATGCTGATATTGGCCAGGTTGTGTATGGTTGTCTCGTTTGTTGGTTCTCAGATAACCTGTATAACACAGAAATAGTGTAGACAATGGCAGTGAATGGTTATAGACATTCTCATGCCTACTGAAGCTGAGAAAAATTAAAGGCACTTTTTCTGTGGGAAGCAGAAAAGCAGGCTGATGGATAATTCCACACAGCTTTCTATTCTCTGTTCTTTTGAGTCTGTTAGAG